TGTCATCCACACGGTGTATCTGTGCCGCGGGAATCTGGGTCCAGTTGTGAATGAACTGGGCCTTGCTCACCTGCAAGTGATCTGCGTCCAGATGGGCCCGTCCGCCAAGGGGCGGGCTGGAAAATGTTAAACTTCACTTCGAGTGATCCCCACCATGACACTTCAATCATTTGTTTTCACTCCATGGTGAGGAACGTGTTCCCATGGTTGCAAACTCGGGTAGCATGGCCCCGGGCTTGCACTTGCCAAGCATCTTGAGTATACGCCTTCTCAGTGTGTGAATTCGATGACAGCTAGGCATAGCTGTCAAAGATTGTCAAAGCTTGGCCGCGAATCAAACGTTTGTTTCCGCCTGGTTGCCTGCCTCTGAAGCAGCCTCTGCTGTTGGCTCATACAAATCATCAGGCGGCAGTCTCTTGGGCAAATCAAACTTGTGACCCTTCTGCGACAAGTGTCCTGCGCTGCTCTCGGCGCCATCCGTGCGACACCAATGTACGTGCCTTTGAGAACTGTGGTGCCCACTACGAATCTGGCACTTGCAGTTGGGGTCTGGTACTGCCCACTGCGGTGTGCTGCTTGCTGTTGCAATCCGGTAGTGCCCCCTGCGATCGGGAGCTGGCGGTTGAGGTCCGGCAGCGCCCACTGCGATCTGGCACTTGAAGTTGGGGTCCTGTATATAGTGCCGACTGCGATCTGGCACTTTGAGTTGAGGTCCGGTAGTCAAGAGGAGAGGAGGAGCAGGAGGAGGAGGAGAGGAGGTCTGATAAAATCTAACCACCCTCACCTGGCAGGTGGGGAAAAACACGGATGCCAAAAAGAATATCAACAAGCATCATCAAGCCAATCATGTCCAATATGATCAACCAATCATCTCACGAATTCCTTCTTTTGGAATGCCCCTCAGTCCACTATCGACTCAGGTGGGCTCCAGGCGATCTACTCCATGTGACCCTGACATCCCATCCCAGAACCAACCCGTTGGGCCAACTGTGCCGTGCCATGCATACTGTGCCATGCCTGTGACGTTTTCTTCCGCTGTGTTGGCTTGATCTGTCACCATGTTTTGTCATGAGTTTGTCCACGTATTTACGTTGCATCTCTTCGATCTTCTGCACCGTCCACGTATTTGCTCATTTGGACATGGCCCACCTCCACACAGCACTCAGTCACAGGTGCACCTTCTGGATCGCAAGTCCGCCAATCAAAATCCAACCAGGTGGCTCCGCGCAGTACACATCGAAGTGTTTCAACTTGCGCCGGCCTCGTGCCGTTTCGACATGCAAACTGCTGTATTTGGTTAGCTCTCCTAAACAGGAAAGTGGAAGTTACATAAAACATCCCGCGCAAGCAGCTAACCGACATCGATCGAGCACAAGGTCCACAAGAGTGGCTCGATGTCAACATCTGACGAACGCCGAAGGGGCCTGTCAGATGGTCTGCATGGTAAAGTCTCTGATGCCATTGAACGACCTGCTTGATTCACTGCGAAGAGACGCAGCCAAATGGTCTGCTCTGGTTTCAAGGCCCCAACCTTGGCAGTCAAAAACATTCAAAAACACATCACTACACCAAGCTCGTGTGTGTGCGTGTGCGATTGTGTGAGCTCTAGAATTTGCGAGGCTTATATAAGCCTTAGCCGCTTAGCTTATCTGGAGTTGAGGCGGGCCAAGCTGTGCACTTGAACACTGACTGACGAGATGCAATAATCGAAGCACTCCGGCCACCTGGCTTGAGAGGATCCTCATGCAAATCCTTCGAATCAACGAAGGAACATCATAGAAAGCCCCACGATAAACGTGCAACTGTCTGAAGAATGTTCAATAATTTCAATATATTTCAAACAGCGGGTCCTTCACATGAACCTCAAAGTGCTCAGGCGTCTGCCACCACCAATTCGCAATATCAAACATGTTGCCGAAGCCATCTCCACTTTCACCAGGCAAAACTCCGTTGCTCTTGCCACTCTCAGGTCTGAGGCAAAACTCTGGTTCAATATGTGAAACTGGACAGCCTTCCTCATCGGCAAAATCGAAAACCACTTGGACCCTTCCGGGCTCACGGGCCACCACTCGCAAGCTGCTGGGGGCCTCAGGCGCTTCGGAGGTGAGGCCCAGCTCGGGCTTGGAGAACTCACCCCAGCCGACGGTGTTTCGAGCCTTGACCCTGAAACGGTATCCAGTGGCAATCTTCAGCTTGGAAATGGTGCCGCGCCAAATCTCCTCATGATACTCGTGAATCTCTCCGCTGGTCTTCGAGCGAGATCTGTGCACCTTGACATCTAGGGGCGAGATGTCTTGCCATAAGCCCAATAAATCTGCAGCAGTGCAGTATTGAAGCTGACATTCTAACACCGGAGCTTGCGCAGGTGTTTTTGCAGACCATTGCAGCTCCAAAGCATCTGCCAGTCTCCGGGTACAACATGGTGGCTCACAAAAAGCCCTGCCCAACGTTTGGCATTCACATTCCAGACTTCCTCCAGCCACTCCATCCTCCACTTTGGGCAGGATGCGGAACTTGTAGTCAGTCTCCTTAAAGGTCTTACCATTGCAGCATGCACCCATCCAACCACCCCAAAAAATCCCTCCAAACACGTTTCCGCTCAAAAAAAGAGAAGTCTTTCTCCATCACTACTGGGCTCAAAAATGTAACTTACAATATGGGTGGGTCAAAATTCAGGTTTTGGAAAACGGTCCGGTTATTTATTAACATAGAGGTACAACATACTTCCATCTAACAAGACAGGGGTCAACATTGTAAGTTACTTTTTTGACCCTCAGGTGTGTTTGTTGAGCCTGTGCACGTTCAAGAAATGTAAGTTACATTCCTGAGTGTCAGGCGGATGCATTGGTTCCTGACCCTCAAAATTGTAAGATGAGGTGGGGGGTCAAAAAAGGTATAAAAAGGGTAACATCCTCACATAGGGTATCTCTGAACCTTAGATCTAACTGAACCTTAGATCTAACCATTTCCAACCCCCTTTTTTGCTATACAATGCTATTCTGCAGAAAGTCAACAATTGTAAGTCATAAATTTGAACCCCCCGTAGGGGTCAGGCACGCAAAGGAGTGATCTTTCTCCCATCTTCGCCCTTCGCCGCATCTGCTCCAAGTCTCAGGCTTCAAACACCAAATGGTGATTTGGTGGCCGCCCTCGGCTTGCAGGATCCGGAAGTCCGTGCCCTCCACCAGGTCGCACCACGTGTCGCTCCTCGGAAGAGGAGCGATTTGAGGGGTACCAGACAGGAATGGCGAGTCTGGAACCTAGGGCTTGTGACAAGAGCAAGATTCAAATGATAAAAGAGCAGTTCTCACCAAAAAGACTTGAACCAACGTGACGAAGAAAAGCCATGAACAGCTCATGTCTCTGCATTCCATGGCTCTGAAGCCAGTTGCCACGCACCAAGCTTTGCACCTGGGCAGAGTCAACTGCTTCGTCCAAATGCTGTAGCTATTCCCCAACATCCAAAGTCATGGCAGGGCATGGCAATGCATGGCATGGATCTTATGGAATAAACAATCCAGAATCATGTCATAAGAATGCTTGCAGATCCATGCCATAAGATCCATGACATGGATCAAAGCCCATCCAAATCCATGCATCTCTGTATATATCTCTGTCTGTGGGAGTCCACTTCGACCAGGAGAACTGTGCACGACGAATGGGCAGGAACTGGGCGGAAGGGTTTCACATCTCGGGGAGGTGATTGTATTTAGCGTCGAGTGAAACTGGTGCCCTATTGGCTGCTTTTCCTTAGCTTGGTGGCCACTGGGCCAGTCTGGCATACTGCTGCAAATGTTTCATTTCTGCGAAGTGATGATGACGATGATGACGACGACGACGACGTTGATGATAATGAAGCCGCTGCCGCTGCTGCCGCCGCCGCTGCTGCTGCGCTGGCAATGATCATTATATATGTGATGATATGTAGTAGTTGTTGCAACAAGGGCCCAAATGAGCCTGATAATGACGACGGGCTCTGCTTTTCAAAAGCGATGCTACAACTAGCAAAAACCTCGCATGGAAGTTGTCATTCAATCCAGGCCACAAACCATGGCGGCGCAACTGGGCCTGGACCAACTTCAAACTTCACCTTAGAAATAAACTCAATCGGCAGTGGCAGCACAAACCAATCCACCTCAACCAAAAAACCTTGCATTGATACATATATATAATATACACATTTGGATCCTCACACCTTCTCTCGTCGTGACTCGTCTTCCCCAACTCAGGGCTCTTCTGCGCTGGTGATTGGAAGTTCTTGGTGGCCTGCCCAAATGCTTCCCCGACGGAGTTCATCTACAATCTACCCCGTGGGTGGTTCCCGCCAATCTCAAACCACCAGCTGCTGCACGGCCATGTCACCGACTCCAATCCTCGTTGCACACACTGGAAGGGCTGCATGAGGCATCGCACGGCAGGATGCAGCCATTGGGCGGCAAAGAACGGTGTTGTTGTGCCATTGGTCGGTGGATTGGTTGGGGCACACCCCTCTGAGAGCTGCGAAGGGGTGGCGTTTTACGCGTTCGCGGTCAATCTCTGAACGACTGCCTGACTGAATGCCGTAGATTGCCATAGATGGTTGGGCTACTGTCTTCGTGGAACAAAAGTAACGAACAATTTGACAGCATGTCTATAGCAAAAAGGCATAAACAGGTTTGAAGTATGCAGCCTAGCAGGCTGAAGCAAAGCTAAAAGCTGGCATTTCACGAACATCTACCCTGCCCCAAACAACAAAGGGATGCATTCATGAGTTGTGGTTCCATGATCACTATAGTCATACTGTCCCCGGTTAAGGCGCCAATGTGTGTGTGTGTGTGTGTCAGCATCTTTTTCAACTGCAAACTTATGTATGCCTCAGCGCAAAAAGTCCACATCATGCGTGGCTGACATCTTTGTGTACAGGTAGCTCGTCGCCGTCTCGTCGTGTTGTGAATGCACCGTAGCTCATGAGACGGCGAGTTCATGTGAAGACGGCTCCGCAGGTCCAGCAAACACCTCACCTTGGCTGCGATCAAACGTCACTCCTGGAGGTCCTGCGCGCGAGGCGCGTGCGTGCGCGCATCGCGGAAGAACTGCTCCAGTCGTGAGTTCTGTCCTCGTTTTGGGCCAAACACTCAGAACCCCACAGAACCCCAGAACCCTACAGTAGAACTCTGATCTCGACCCCACCGAAACCTCCCACCTCCCACCCCTTTGAAACCCACGGGGTAACAAGCCCGCACCTGGCTCGCCCGCCGAGCTGCTGGACCTGCGCAGGACGTCGTTCCTGAAGAGCCCCTAGTACCAGTAGCGTTCTTGTTACTAGTAGCGATGCCCTTTGCTCCTAGTAGCGTCCTTGTTA